GTTGATAATTCATTTTTTAATGGAGTTCATACATGTTTTTCTTCAGGTTTACTCAAGCGGTCTTTCCTTTGCTCAAGCGGTCTTTAGGTTCTCTCAATACTTTTACAGGTCTGTAAAACTACTGGGATTAGGGTGATCTTTGCTCGAGCTGTCCTTTCTTCCCTTAAACGGTCTTCTGCAGTCTGCAAAACTTCTTGGAGGGGGTCATTGTGCACTCAAGCCGTGTTTTGGTTGCTCGAGCGGTCTGTGCATATATCAGATCGGGGAAAGGTCCTTTTCTGTTGCTTTTTACCTTCTCTCTCTCTCTCTCTCTCTCTCTCTCTCTATCTCCCTCTCTAAAACATCCTAAAACCTAATTTCTTCACTTTATCTCTCTCTTTAGTTCTTATCTAAACACTCAAATACACTCAAATACACCCAAATCCATTGATCTTGCCGCCTAGTGCTTTAGAGTAAAGTGTAGAGCTCATAAAGGAGAACATTTTAATCAGTGAAATTTCCATTTTTTACTCCATCTAGAGTTAGGTCTTGCTTCCTTCTTCTTCTACTCTTGAGGTAGGAACTTCTTCAACCTCCTTGTATGATTCTTAACTTCGTTATGTACTCCTTACAAAATATTGTGATTTGGGAGTTGGGGGTTTGATTTAGGGTTTGGTTTTTGAAATGTAAAAGAGGCATTTTCAAATGGGTTCTTGAAAAAGGTTGTGGGAATGAGTATATTGTTGAGTTGTGTTGAAGTAAGGAATGAGTATATTGTTGAATTGTGTTGAAATATTAGAAATTTCACCTAAAAATGGGTTTTTAAAAGTAAAAGATGTCTTATTAGAAATCATTGGTGTATGACCTATGAATGAAGGGGAAAGATGTTGGATTTTGAAAAAATAAAATAAATGTATCTATTGATGATGAGAATGGAGTTGGATATGCATTATCACTTCCATTTTGAGATTATGAAATTATAATTGTTATTGAAAATTTATCTGTTGTATAGAGATATCTGTTTTGGGCTATCGGTGGATGATAGCTTTGGTTGTTGTAGAAATTGCATGAGGATTATGTTAATTGAAATGAACTACTTATACATTGTGTATTGAACATTGTTTCATACTTAATACTTTGAAATGCATCGTTTTGAGAAAAATGGGTGAATACCCTGGTAGATCTAGTTAGAGGGTGTGGTTATGGTTTTATTATATTGGCCTATGTGTCCTTGATGAAAGTCCAAAAACCGCCGCAATTAGGTGCCGATCCTTCTGGTTAGTGTAGACATCCCATGTTTTAACCGCTCTTAAGACTTGAGTTCTCAGTTGAACACTTGATGATGAAATAATACGCTGTGTAATCATTCAATTTCCTTAACAAAAAGCTTCGGTTTTGAGTTTCAGAATCTAAAGCCTTGCACTCCCTTGGGACCAAAACCTAATTTTTTTCTCACCTGACCACTTAGAGGCCTGCTAGCCAACATGTGGTTCGCAAGCCAATTTTATTGGCCGGCCGTCCCCTTCCACGGCAGGCCAGTCGGCTGGCAATGTTTAGCGGCGAGCAGATATTTACTGCTAGCTGTCCCCCCCATGTGCATGCCTTGCACCCGCTGGCTCAATTCAGATATTTCTGGCAAAGAAACCTGTTTTTCTATAAATAGATGACCACCCCTTATGATTTTAAGTTAGAAAAATTTGCCAAGTGCTTGAAACTTACCAAACACTCTCCTTCTCTATCTTGCACTATACATACACTATACATACACTTCCTAAACCAAAAATTTGAGGCTTCCTGCTGTGATTATTGAGCCAAAATTTCAGCTCTTGAGAGTGAACACTTTGGTGTTTGTGAACCAAAAAGTATCTTCTCTTCAAAGGTATAACTTTAAAAGTAAACAAAGATTAATTTATAGATTTTTTTATAAATATAAATGAAAAAACATAAACATTACCAAACATTACATTAATAATTTTTTATTTTATTATTAAAATGTGAGCTAAAAAAACATAATATGTTTAGAAAGAAACTTTTGACTCTTTACAATAAAAAAATTAAAAAAAAAACATATAAAAAAAATAAATTATATATTTTGTAGAATGAATGAAAATGAATCTTTAACTTTTTCTATGAGTTCAAAACTTTAAAAAAAAAAAAAAAAAAAATTATCTAAAATAGGGACTTATCAAATAGGGTCTTTGTAAAAAATAAAATTAATGATAATTTGGGTAAATTACACTCTAGCCCTTTATATTTTGACATGGGGGATCATAGGGGATCAGGAAAAAAAAAAAAAAACCCCATATTAGCTACCACATGATATAAAAACATATATTATTATATTATGATTTAAATTTGTATCAAAAGTGTGAGTTATATATTATGAAATATTTTTATACAATGTGACAGTTAATGTGTCATTTTTTATTTAATTTTAGGCATAAGTTAATTTTTAGAATAAATTAAGAAAAACCAAAAACGTGAAGAGTTAAAGTAAGAAGAAAAAAAAAAAACCCCTTCAAAAAATAAAGTGCAAAGACTAAAGTGAAAAACTCGCTAAATGCAAAAGAAAGTGTAATTTGCCATTTTTTTTTAAGGAGCACCCCTTAAATTTTCAAAAAACATATAAAAAACTTTACTTACGGAACACTTAGATCCCATCTATATTTTTGGTAAATTACATCGGTAGTACATACGTATTATCCCTTGTGTTATTTTGGTTCATATACTTTTAATCGATTCAATTTTGATATTTAATTTTAAATTTTGTGTCAATTTGATCTAATGGATAAAACTATTAATGTTTTTAACAAAAAATTATTATTGAATTGCTTGCGGTTAACTCACGAAATTGAGCAAGTATATATTTTTTTCCCTAAAAGCATGACAATTGCCATTTATGTGTGTATTTTTTATTAAAAAATGTTTACAAAATTATAATCAATTGAACTAAATTAAGACAAAGTCACAAATTCAAGGTCAAAATTGAGCGAACTGAAATTACTAGGATCAAAATGACACAATGATCAAAATACAGGAACTACCAACGTAATTTGCCCTATATACAATTACAATATATTGTGGGAAAATTCTATCATATGCCCCAGTTCCAACTTTTGTGATCTTTGATTATAACCTATTATGCTATTAGTTATGACTTGATTATGATTCATTGTGGCCTTATTTATGACTCGTTGTGATTTTTATTATGATATTATTTTGGTTATAATTTATATGTTATATGGTGTTTAGTTATGACTTATTATTTTTATTATTTAAATTAAGACTAAAAATGATCTAATTATGACGTTGGTGTTGATCAACATCACAAATATCATAATTTGTAGGGTGCATATCCTTTTTAGAGTGTGTCATATTAAGTTTGACAGTCCAGATCTATTTTTATCTAAAATTTTAAACTTTCTAATTATTGAAATTCAATTTTCATTAATAAGTTATTGGTTTGATCAATATGCTAATAATTTTTTGGATAAATTACATTTTAATTCTCTGTGGTTTGCCTAAAAAATACGAAATTCCCCTATAATTTCATTTATAACACGTAAGCCCCCTGAACTTAATACCACACTGTAATTTTTGACAAATTCATTTATTTAAACAAAGCGTGAGATTCACGTGCATAAAAGTGTAAGCAGCACTCTCTCATGCGAAAAGCGTTACACTCTTGGACCAAAACACCCCTTCTCTCTCCCCTTATTATATAAATATGCAACGAACACATTAAAGCTTTTGAAATTGCCCAGATTAATTAACTCAAGATTTTTCTTCCTCACTGCACAACAAAACCAGCTTTCAATTCAACACCACCATTCACCCTCCATCTCCTTCTCATTACCCTTTCCTTATCACTCACTTCATCCAACAAACCAAGGCGATACACCCCTTACCACACCATTTCCATTCAGCACCACTACAAGCTAATATATATAAATACATCTTAGGTCTTGTTTGGCATATACTAAAAAAGTTAAAAAGTCAAAAAGTCACTATCCTATTTAAATCACATCATCTTATTTAAGGCACATCACCTCTCTACAACATCACTTCAAACCCAACCCATATTTTATAAAAAGTCAAAAAATACACTTATTTAGAACATTCCAAACCACCCCTTAATCTCTAAATAAATTTGTTAAATGGATCGAACCCAGTTAGAATTAAAGAAAATTAGTTTTTTTTTTTTTTAAGTTGTTCAATAAAAATTGCAAATTATAATGCAAAGAATGGTTAAAACTTGAAATAATTTTTACCTCACAACTTCATATTTTGTTCACATCAAATTGACTGCTCACATTATATAGATAATATATAATGTTCGTATATATGCCCACAAAATTACTTACAGAGAGTTCAAGACAAACAAAAAATTTCAACTACAAAATCTTACCCGACACTAAGCTATTTTTCTGAAGAGTGCAATGCAAGAGGGAATTGGGTTTGATGTGAGGTGTTGTAGGTGGCTACTTCATGTTAGGACAGCCATGGCTTCCATGGGGAAAAAAAAGGGCGATTTTTTCTTTTCTTTTCGAAAAGTGCAATGTAACAGGGAATTGGGTTTTGGTTTGAGGTGTTGTATGTAGTGGCTGCTTCAACTAGGACAGCCATGGCCTCTTCCATATTAAAAATTATATATGGTAGTTGAGTGCTGAGGGGAGAAGAAGAAAAAGAGAGAGTGAAAAGAAATGGTAGTTGTTGGACCTGAAAACGGCAGGTGGTGTCCATGACATAATGTGTGGGGGAAAGGATCAGGTATAATGAGAAAGATGGCATACAAAAGAAAATTAGAGAAAAAAAAAGTAAAGGTATTCAAGACTTTTTACAAAAGTTGTTACGTCTGTCCGAAATTACACTTTGGTATAAAATTCAGGAATTTAAGTGTTACAAATGAAATTACAAGGAAGTTTCATGTTTTTTTGGATAAACCACAAGGGGTTAAAGTGTAATGGGCACTCTATTTCATTAACCTAACAACAATTGACAATGGACAGGCAAGAGCCAATTAATTAATAAAACTCATCTCCGAGATTGAATTGTTTCCATTCAAATTGAAATAAGTGATCTTGTACTCAGAATCAGCCTGCATAAACCTCCAATATATATATATATATATATGCATTGTTTCTATATATAAATTTCACATTTTCTCTATCAAAGAATGGATGTGGCAGCCGAAAACAAAGACAACAAATAAAATTAACAAAAAGAGGAAGAACGGAATGACAATTATAAGTGAACATGCTAAAACAATAAAGGGGTCAGGCAAAAATGCTTTTGACTAGTTACACTGAAATAAGACCCACATATCCTGCAAATAAAGCTAACACGCAAGAAAGAACGTATGCGCTTGCAACAATAACTGGTTCTTTGACTCCACATAGCTCAAGGTGGTGGTGAAATGGTGCCATCCGGAATAAGCGGTGGCCAGCTCCGTGAAAGCATTTGGTGGTCTTGAAGAAGGATACCTAAAACATAAGCACCTCAATTCGGTTACAAGCTCATGAGAATTGAATTTACCAACTTTTGTTTCTTCAATCCAAGCACAACATGCTACCACAAACTTTAGGAAGAAAAATTGATCATAATAAATAGAAAAAAACCACCAATCCACCACAAAATACCTAGCATGTATTAAAAATATCAACTGTCACTTTGTGCACCTGAATATGTGCTTACTTGCATGTATTCATGTATCTACATATAAGCCCTTGCATGTGGATATCTAGCCAACAAGAACAATACACAGTTTAATTTCAGGTTCTTCTAATGAAGAAGATGCGGACTACAATCTTCAATTCTTAGAAATTATAATGATAGTTTTATCTTATTGCTTGCATCTCACTGTCTTGTTGGCCAAACCAATTCCATTAGCAAAGGTCTAGTTTCTCAAATTCAAGAGGAAAATCTTCCTCCATCCAAGTGGAAGAAGGGTGAAACATGAGACAGTCGTCCATTGTAGGGGTTCTTACTAGATACCAAATACATTGCACTTGTATTAATATCTTGAAGAAGCTTTTAGGCAACTTTGAACATACGAAAATGGCAATACTTGAGTAGCAGAAATCAGAATGGAGAACCAAAAGTAGGAAGAAAAAAGTTAATCAAGAAAGAAAGGGAACATGTCAAGACTGCATTAAAGGATTATATCAATAGCAATGGGCTGATTACAGTGAGATCACAAAAAAAGAGAGAAAAAGGAAAAGAAAGAAAATATAAAAACAGTAAAACAAATAAAGGAATTCAGTGGCGAACAAAAATATCAAAATTGAAGACACATCTGAGTCTTCTCATCACAGGTGAAAAGAAAGATCTGGAGCTCCATCAAGACTTTAAAAGCTCGCCACCAAATTGCTTTTGAAGTACAAAGAATCAAGTCCAGGGTCAACAGGTATGAAGCACGGACACGGACACGTGACACGACATGGACATGTGGACACGCAAATTTTCAAAAAATGAGAGATGACACGCTGAGGACACGTTCAATATATATAATATTATTTATTTATTATATGTACAAAATTAAAAAAATAAAAAATAAAAAATAGAAAAAATAAAAAGAGGGTCTCAGGTATAAATAAATAAAAAAGTAGGTTTTTTTTTATAAAAAAAAATACTTTCAATCTTTCATGAGAATAAAAAGAAATAAATAAATAAAAAGGGAGAGACAGAGAGTCTTTCATGAGAAGAAAAAGAAATAAATAAATAGAAAGGGAGAGAGAGAGACGAAAAACAAAGAGACGGAGACGATCAACGAGAAACGAAAAACAGAGAGGAGGGGACGACGAAAAGCACACCGAGAGAGAGAGACGACCTTCGAAGTGATGAAAGAAGAAGAAAAACGAAGCAAAGAAGGAGGACATACCTCAATCTAGGGCTTCAACTTCACCGCTTGAGGTTCAACACGTTTAGGTTCTTCTTCACCTTCTTTCTCTTCTCTTTCTCTTTGTCGACCAACAAGCTAGGGTTTTTGTTCAGAATCGTATCCCAAACGTGTCCAAGCATGTCCCAAATGTGTCCGACTACAAAAAAATTCAAAAAAAAAAAAGACACCTCCCACAGAGTATCGGACACATGTCCATGACGTGTCCGATGCGTGTCCGTGTCCGTGTCCATGTCCGACACGTGTCAGACACCCATACACTACCTTCGGAGAGGTGTCCATGCTTCATAGATGAAGAGAATAGCAACCGAAAACATATAACCTAATATATATACATTATCCCCCTCAAACTCAAGGAGGTAGTGTAGATACCATCTTAAGTTTAGAAACCAAGTCATGGAATGTCCCAGAAGATGTACTGTTACACCCTAAAGAATGCCACATTCTAAGTCAAATTAACTGTCTCATTACACAAATATTTAAAGTGAAGCTTAGAAATGAGTGATTAGGAAGCTTGGACCCGTCGAATTTCACTATCAACTAATAAGACTTAAGAACTAACCACCTCTTGAACATAGTGAGCAAGTGTGTATTGCATCAAAAGTATTTTTACATGACATGAACGAATATTTAGCTTAATCTAATCACCTTACAATACTCTAGAGATAGAAATATGAATTTATAAGATGAAACCTTAGAAGATGAATACAATTGGAAAGAAACTTCGAAGTGAAAAGCAAGCATTGATGAGACACACTTGAGAAGAAAAATACTTGAAGATTACTAAGAGTTAGGGGACACCTTAAGTGTAGAATTTGTGAATGCTAGGATGTGCCTATGCACTAATTGGGGAGCTTAAAGATCTTAGACTAATGTACTCATTATTTTAATACTCTATGTCATTTTGCAAATCATAATTAGAGTTAATTAAGTAGAATTAGTGAACCCTAATTGAGATTAATTAAGCTAAGCAAGATTAAATTAAACCTTGATTAATCAAAGACTAACATGGATTAATTATAATTAAGATTGATTAACTAAGTTAAGTACGTGAGATTAGAGAAATTGGTGAAGCATACACGTAGGTGAAACACACATCTCTTCTTTTATACAAATGTCCAACTTTGTCCTACCTAGCTTTTGTCTTTACCTTTAAATAAGCTAAATGAGGGGAGTGAAATCAGATTTCACAAGAAAGAGGGAGAAGAAAAGAGAGAAACATAGAAGAGAAGAGAAGGGAAGAGAAAGAAGAGGAGAAAAAAAAAAAGAAAAAAAAAGAAAGAAAGCTTGAAAAATCAACCAAAAATCCATCTTTTGATCATCCTAAGGAAAGATTTCAAGCCTAATACTAGTAGTAATCCTACCTATTATCAAAGATTGAGAAAAAGCTAAGATTTAATTGAGTTATTAACAAAGGTAGGAAAGATTGAAGAACAAGCTAGGTAGTCATGATTCTCACCAATCTGATCTTGATTCTGGTGCTCTTGATGCGTAAGAAGCTTCATCTTCATGTTTTCATATGATTTCTAAGAGTTTTGCAAGTTTAAATTCATGTTTTGGAAGGATAAGCAAGAAGGGTTTTAATAAAAAATAGAGTTAATGATTTCTTGACAAAAACCTAAGTTTTGATCCTGGTGCCTTAAGAATAAATCATGTTTTGAAGTTATTGCTTTGAAAAGAATCATATTTCCATTTTTTCCTTTAAGTTTTGAATGTTTTATAACAAGTTTTCCAGGTTCGAAGGCTTAGAAATGAGAAGAGGTAAGCTAGAACAAGATTGGATTTTCAAACAGCCATCCTTGCACGCCTGAAAGTGACTCCCGCACGTGTGGCCAGACCGTCTAGAAATCAATTTTTGGTTCTGAAATAACTGCACGTGCCCTCAGATTTTCCGCACGTGTGGTAACCTTCCCAATTTTTGGTAGGTCAAACAGGGTATTCGCCCGATTTGACTCCTTTTTTGCTTGTTTCGATGCACCGGATCTTATAGAACTTATTTTAGATCTAAAATAGAATTGAATAAAGTTTAGAAACTGATTTTTAATAGGAAAGTTAAAGAACAAAGTTTAGAATTGGGTTAATACATTTGTTTTGTGTTGCACATGTGGCAACCCTGCTCCAAACCTATTTCATATTTTTCAAGCCTTGTTTGCTTAGGACACCCCCATGCTTGCATTTGACACATGTTATGCACTTGTTTAAGACTTGAATTAAGCCTAGAATAGCACCTGACATGTAAGAGAAGTTTAGGAAAGTGTTTAGCCAAACTTAGGCATTCGGTTTGTTATATTTGTACATGTAAGCTAGGTACTTTAATACCTTGTTCATGCTTTGTGTAGGTCAAGCACTCGGAGGAGGAAACCTTTTATTCAAGGAGCCATTAGTAGTGTAGTGAAGTTATGTTTGTTAAAACTATGATTCAAAATGCAAACCTATGCTATGTTTATGAAAGTTAAGCTATTGTTTTGTTATGAATGAACATCCTATATTCTTGTATCATATATTAAGATGACATTCTTGGATCATGTCCCAAAATTGGGGAAATAACCAATCATGTCTTGATGGCCGAGCTCACCTTGCCACCTTCGGGTTAGGTGTCTAGCCGATATCGACACCGGTTAAACACCTTATAATCCTTGATATGTTCATCATTATGTAAATGTTTGCAAGCCAAGTTATGCAATGTCTTGCTCAAGTTAAATCTATGTTGAAACTATGATTTGAGGTTATGTTTAAAAGCTTGTCGGTGTTCATTCATTTACCACTTTACTGGCGATGGCTTACCCATCTCCCCTATATGTATGTAGGTACAAGAGAAGCATCATGGAGAAATTAGTTCCTTGAAGTTTATGCATGTATGCTAGAGACAAGAGGGTTGTAATTCATCTTGTATATTTTTGTATCCTTGTAAATATGTATGTAATCAAGAACAATGTATGCTTTCATTTCATATAGTTATGCACTATTCTAAATGGATGCTTCAAACGGACTAAATATAAGCAAAAAAATGGCTTTCACACAATGGAAAATTTGCCTAAATTATCCAAAGAGTCCAACTCCTTTTGTATGTTACGCCTTTGGTAGTCTATAACTACTGGCTAGTCACCTCACTATCCTGTTTGGGGTGAGATGGGGTTGTGACATGTACCTTGGTGAAGACATTAGTAATTTGATTGGATGAGGAAACTGAGAGAAGGCAAATAGTGCCACACACTTCTATTGTTACAGTGTAGTGTACTTACAGAAGAGTGAGAAACACCTAAGCCAGAGAAGTTCTTGAGTGGTATCAGCAATACCACAATATTCGGCCTCAATACAAGATCTACCTCTAACAATATGCTTCTTGAAGAAATAAGTGAATTGCCTAGAAAGAAGCAGAAGCCTAGAATGACAATCAATGGAATCATCCACCCAATCCGAGTAAGCATGTAATTACAGAATAGAGTACGCTGAGTAATGAAGACAACAAAATAGTATTATCGAGAGTAAAAAAGGTTGTGGCCATTTTTGTGACCTTCTCCCTCTTCTTTTTCTACATCAAACAGTGAGATAAACAAGGTTGCCAATGAACTATCATTAAAGTGACATCAGAAAGTGGGGTGGCATCCAAAGAGAGTGAGGCAAGCATTAAACTCTAGAGGTGTAAATGCAATCTTAGTATCGGTAAGTCCAACCCATGCTATAAGATCATAAGCATACTTAGCTTGAGAAAGAGAACCCAAAAAGTAAAATCATCCGTGTAAAAGAAAATTTCAAGCCCCCAAAAGTAGCTAAGAGAACCCAAATCCTTCATCTCAAAGTGCTTGCTGAGGGTTGTTTGAGTTTAGAAATAGTAGTAAAATAATCCCCAGTGATAATCATATCATCAACATGAAGGAGTAAGAGAGTAATACCTTGCTTTGTCTTGCAGATAAAGAGAGTAGAATCATAAGGACTTGAGGAGAAACAAAACGACCAATAGTAGCACTAAATTTTGCAAACTATGCTCGAGGAGCCTACTTGAGACCGTAGAGAGTACAACAAAATTTACAAACCTTGTGTCGTTGATGTGCATATCTAGGCAGAGGTTGCACATAAACCTCCTTAGTAAGATCACCTTTGAGAAAAAGCATTTTTGACATCGATTTGATACAATCTCCACAGGCGAGCTGCTGCAACTACAGCTAGACTCCTAACAGAAGTGACGCAAGATACTAAAGCGAACATCTTCTCATAATCAATGTCATACTCATGTAAAACCTTTTGCAACCAAATGAGCCTTATAGCATTCTCTGGTGTTGATCTTGCAAACGCACTTACAACCAACTACCGTCTTGCCTAGAGGAAGATCAACCAAGTCCCATGTATGAGTTTCGTCCAGGGCTTGCAATTCTTCTACCATAGCTTGCTACAAAAGACGGTTAGAATTGGCGTCATGATAGGAAAGTTCATGATAAGAAGTATCGTGGGAAAATATTGGTAATCACATAGATGAATAGGTATATATCTCTTACATGAGTAGAGTGACAGATGGGTGGAGCAATGGAATGATAATTATATTGAATGGAGGCCAAAGTATATAGGGGCAGAACCATTAGATGAACCAGATACGGAGAAACTGTATTAATGAGCTCAGGATAAGAAGTTGAATCAAGTTCGTCAAGAACAGTTCAACGGAGGAATTGGTAAAAAAATGTGGTATAAGTGGACGGAAGATAGAAGAAAACATTTTATGTTTCTAAAAGGGGATATGGCGAGAAAGGTGAAGACATTTGCGAATGCCAACGTGGATAGCCCTTTTGTTCAATCCCATACCCTAAGAAACAACAAAAAGGAGCCTGAGGCTCTAACTTGGTACACTCGTGAGGCTGAAGCAAAACAAAGCTTGCATAGTTGAAGACTCTAAGAGTATTGCAATTTTGGAAAGCACCACACAAACACTCAAAAGAATACTGATTATTAATGATGGGAGAGGGAATACGATTCGTTGTATAGACAACAGTGAGAGCAACTTCTTCCCAAATTTGCTGAGGACAAGAGGCAGAGATAATAAAGACACAAAATGTGTCAACGATATATCTATGCTTGTGTTCAACAAGCCTATTCTGCTGGTATACAAGAACAATGATAGACTGTCATTTGTGTGAAGAACATTAAATGAACACTCTATATTCCGTAGCATTATTGGCACGAAAGACTTTGATATAGCAAGAAAACTGAGTTTTTACCATGTTTACAAAGTCACAGTAGATCTTTGGTAATGCAGATCGATTATGCATTAGAGGTATCCATGTAAAACGTGAATAATCATCAACAAAAATAACAAAGTTCCTGCAACCCCCCTCACCGCCAATGGTAGAAGAGATGAGGATCCCTAGACCTTGGAGGGAATAAGTTCCAAGTAGAGCAAACGACACAAAATCACTTTTATTAGAAGGCAAAACAAGTTTTTTGGCAAGTTAAAAAAAAAATAAAAATAAAAAACAAACAAACAAACAATCGACATCTTCATTTTCTATTAGACCTAACTAACAACTAGAGACTAAAGTTCTAAGTGACCAATAGACATACATGACTGAACCGAGAATGCTAAAGACTGATAATGAGGGTGTTAAAGTTAAGGCAACAGACTGCACTGGGGGAGAAGGCTAAGAATGAATCTGAAGATTAACGAGCTTTAATAGGAGCCCAAGCTTATGGCCTATCCCAAGGGTCTGTCGCATCCATAGACCTTGCACAAGACATCTTGTTGGAAATCTGGGTCGGGTTTCAAACTCGGGTTTGGGCGCACCATGGTGGCATGACCCAAGACCTGTTTGGAGACCCAGTTCTTTTGAAGATGGTGTTAAGAAGTGACACACTATAAGTGTAAACTTGGCCTATGTTAAACTTGGCCTATACCCGAGTTGATATTAATGAGCAAGATCAGCAGTGGTATAACACTCAGCCAAGAAATTCCAAATAGATTGGCAGTGTCAAAGCATCCAAACTGAAGGCTAATGGATGTAGTCAACGTGTTGCGAAACCAACTAATAGTCTGATGGTTTTTGTTATCCCACTCAACAAGGAGCGGAGGAAATTTATCATCTTGTTCTTTTCTGTGCTTGAGCTCCTTTAGATCCTTAGTGAAATATCTCCAAAGTTTATGTCCTTTGAGGAAACTAGAAATTTCTTGTGTCCAAAGGATGTAATTGGAGCCACTTAAGACGACAGATATTGGCTGAGAAACTTCATAATGTTCCATAGTAATAGAACAAGTAAGCTACCAACGCAAAAGTGAAATACAGAGGCTTATTTTCAGAAACAGAGGCCATAGACATTCAGAAGGCCAAAAATTTAACCAGATCAGAAAGGTTCAAAAACACCTTAAACCAGCCAATTGTAGTTGCTGGAAGGGGCTGAGTGAACCGTCAGCAGAAAGAAACCGGCCAAGATGCACATGCTGCACGCAGAGGAAATGGTACACGCATTGCACAAGAATGCAGATGCACGCATTGTGTGCTAAGCAAACAGAGGAAACAAGGCGACCATGCCTTACAGCACATAAGACAAGGGGCTGAACATGGAACAATGCACCAATGTTGTGGGGAGTGTGAGATTGTCCGTGGGTGATTGGAGCCCAGACTTCACTAGTGAACTCGGTTGATCGGGGCAAACACAATGGTGCTTTTAAAATTGAGATTGAAGCACTGGGATATTATTTCAATAGGCGAGGCACAAAGAGTGGACAGTGGTGGCGGCATTGCAATGAGATGCGACGGCAGCAGTTCACAGACCAAGAAAATAACAGATAGAGGATAGAGTTTTTGATAAGATAAATGACGGGATTTTTTACAACCATGTTGGATTTAATACAAAGAGAGAATGAAGAAAATAACTCTGGATTGATCATCCATTCTCTACAGTGAGCCATTACGCATATATAGGCAGAGTGCTGTACAAGAGCAAAGGAAAAGGAAAGCACAATCATAGGAAAGAAATAATACATGAAAAGAAACCAAAAATATATAACCTAATATATATACACATTTACACACAAAATACCTGCATTATAACTGATGCTGCTTCCAAGACAAAGATCCCAGACGAAATGAATAATGGAAGAAACATTCCTGTACAAGAAGCCATTGCAGCTAAAGCTCCACCTAGTGCCAACGAACCCGTATCACCCATAAATACAGATGCCTTGTATCGATTGTGGGAAAGGAAACCGATACAAGCTCCTGCCATCGATGCTCCAAATATAGCAAGATCTGATTTGTAATGCAAAAGTCAGTATTTCAGTTCAATAAAATTTCTCCTCAACAGAACATCATGACTTAACACAGCTTATCGTCATGAAATCAAACTTCAAAACATTGAAAACAAAGTGAGTAGATTTCAACTTGCTGTCTGTAATTGTATGGCAACTTTTATCGAAATATGCTGCAACAAAAGACATATGAAATTTCTTGGGAACAATGTGGGACCGTGCCTCTGATTGGCCATCTTATCCCTTTAAAAGCAAACAATACCCACATCACTTTGTACTAATCTGTCTCTGCTCTACTCTCTCTCCACCTCTCAGTACTTGGTCTCTTTCTTTCTCTATTTACATTTCCTTCGTGACAGTCGGCAAAAACATCAATCCAGCACCGTAATCTCACTAGTCAAACCAACTACCTCCTCCATAACCATCACCTCCTACCATCATATTTGACCTCCACAACCACCACTGCAACAATCCAATTATGTGAACACCATCTTCTCTCTCTTCTCCTTTAAAACCATTTACATCAAACCACCTTTTGTCTCTCCACTTCCTCTCTAAAACTTTTGATAAATTTTCATTAATTTTAATAACCACAAAACTACATGTATTAAACAAATCAAAAGATATGATGAAATAATATATTTTTATTTTTTTTTAGTTTTTTCCCCAAAAGACAGTCTCTCTAAAACATCAAGTAGTAGACCAGAAACAAATTTAATACAAAAAATAAACACAAGTAAATCAACTTCATGGATTTTCTCTTTCTACGTTCTCCATCTAAAAACTCTTTACCAAACCATTTTCTTACCATAACTTCCTGATGTAGGACGATTAGCGACAGGGCTGTAAAGTCTACAAAGCTAACTTTTTGTGGGTTTTAATGGTTGCTTAAAACTGAATCAATAGGAATTTTAGGATTTCAAATATTGAATGGAATGAACTAGGTTTAGAATTAATAAACTGGGTGAAAGAGATCAAAACAGGGGCTGTTTAGGAGCTGTGAACAGTAGCCATGAACAGTAATTGGCCTATGGAGGTGCTGAAATTTAAGGAACAAATAAAGGAAAAGAAGATAGGTCTAGGCATCACACCTAGGGTTAGGTTGCATCACACAAACCCAAAACAGGCTTCAAAGTTCTAAAAATTCTATTAAATATCAACTCTATTAAATTATAAATATTACATGGCTTTATATAGAACTAGGAGACATCCTAAACCAACTATAACAAAAAAAGAAAACTATTATAATATTTTTGACTTTCAAAACTAATCTAAGACTAGATAAGAAACAGAAACAATGACTAATTAAACAACTTGACCCATGAGATGACCCATGGGTGACCCACACAACTCGTATTTGGAAATTTTGCAAATTACCAAAATACCTCTAACCTAAAAATCCTAGAAAACATCCAATTAAACATAAAATAAGACAAGAATAATACCAGAAACATAACTATATAAGATTTCTATCAATTTCTCTATGAAATCATGCCAATGTCCAAGTATCATCGCTTCTCTGAATTTAGCCTTCCTTGAGCTTCTCATACTCTGCATCACTTCCATTCAACTTCCTCTGGAACCAATATCACACACCATTTAATTAACCGGGCAGCCCCGTCAAAGACGCGTCATCCATCAACTGAAATCAGAAAACTCCAATGACTTGAGAACAACTAAACTAAAAATTAGATCATATGCGCCTTCCATCATATCATAATTCACTATCACCATATGCACCATGCAAATGCACCACCACTATCACAACATGTTAATGCACAATCATTGTCCAATATAAACAACCACTGTCAACCTGTGGTACAAAACTGCATAAAGAGAAGTAAAAAGGAATTTGTAAGTTTTATACACTATAGAAAAATGGAAACTCTGGCTTTGTTTATAGGGAGTTGACTTTATCCAAGTTGAGCTTCAAATAGAGACGAGGAAATAGAAATTTAATCTTATACCAATTCCTTTGTTTTAAGGTTATAGAGATGAATGAATTACGGTTAAGACACACACACACACGTATATTATTAATATAATCAAGAAAGACAAGGGGTGCCACCCAATTTTTGGTGAAACTATGTCACAACTTTTTGTTAAATTAGTGAACGATAAAGATGTCAATTCATAATAACCCCAAGCGGTTGGCCTAGTGGCAAGACCTTGGGTCTTGGGGGTGTGCTCCCTCCAAGGTTCATGGATCAAAACCTCTTAGGTGCTAACAATTCCTTAGGACCATTGGAATGGGGAAAACCCTTGAATTAACCATGGTACACTTGCGGGAAACTCCTTGCCAAGGGCCTGTGCACCTTTGCAGATTAGTCGGGTTTTGATCCAAACACCCCGGTGCTCAAAAAAAAAAAAAAAAAAGATGTCAATTCATAACAATTAATGCAAGGTAAAGATGTAAATAGCAAATCTTCAACATTCTTCCAATAATTAAACTCAACAACTCACATTTTGTGGGAAGGTCCCTCATGAAATGTGGGTTAGTGGAAGAAAAATTAGGAATAACTAGATTAGAAGGAAAAGAATCAGGAATAAAAACACTTAATAAAAAGTAAATATAAAAAAAAAAAATAGAATTAGTATTTGTTAACGCACAAGGTAGCTTCGGTCATGAATGTTTATCGGCCATGGTAGGTGTAGTCGGCGGAGAGGTAGGCGCAGAAGTCCTTGGGTGTGTTTCGGACATAGTCCTTGGTCAAGGGAGTCTTCCGGCCATGGTTCTTTCGGCCATGGGAGGTGTGATGGTAGTTCTCGGTCAGTTCAACGAAATTGCATGGTGGCAGTGTTCCTTACACGTGCGTCATGATTTTTGATGCTACAGATCAGTAAACTTCAAGCATGGGGGTTTTGTCCTTGGCTTGTGTGGGTTATTGAAAAGTTATGTTGTTGTAGCTTTTGGTGGAATAGAAGAGTGTGGGTTGGTGAAAATAATAGTGATTTGGGTTGAAAAGTAGAGTGTGGTTTGTAGAAAAGAGGAGTGCAGCAGCATGGGTGTTGAAAAGAAGATTTTGGTTTGTTAAAAAGAGGAGCAGCTTGGGTGTTTTTGTTTTGGGTTGTGTGGGTTAATTTTGTGGGGATTCATGTATTTTATTTTTTAGTTAATACTTAATTTATTTTTTATTTTTTTGGTCTGTCTTATATTTTGTTTTTAAAAAAAAAAAAAGTTCGTGAGGCCAAAGAGTTGGTTGTATGGATGCGAATAGCAGTAGTAGGGGTAATTTGTACTTTCCGAATCCCTCTCGATACATGTCATCTTCCTGTACCTTTAATTTCATGCTGCTAATGAAATTTTTCTTTACTGATCAAGAAAAAGTTAACGCACACACCTAGGTGTGGGTGTGTGCCACACTTCTAGTATAAAAACTCTTCCATGGATGATTGATGATTATATATATTGCTTGACATAAAACGTTTCCTAAAAACATTAAATAACCACAAACATAATGAGTTCACTAATTTGTTCATAGACTATTGATAGGAAATCAGCATTTATTCCTAAGGCGAGTCCAAAAGGGATCTCGTTCACTAAAAGGCCTAGAAAGAAGTGAAAAAGACAATCATCTTGCTAGAAATGACGATGGCAACAAGGCAACACAAAGAATGATGACTACTTCTCCTAATCACAAAATTGTTTAACACTATGAAGCACGGATACTCCAAAAAAGGCCACGTATGTGTATCAAAAATGTATTGGATATTGGATACACGGATACATCTCTCTCTCTCTCTCTCTCTCTCTCTCTCTGATGAAAAGGAACAATAAAAAGCTAAGGCAGTATATTCTTCGCTAAATATAATTTCTTTTAGGATAAATTACAAATATACAACTAAGTTTTGTCAAAAACACATATTACCCCCTCACATTTTGGAAATCACAAATACCCTTTCTTAGAATTTTTTGTAAAACTATCGTAGTAGAAAAACATAAAACCACCCAACTGCCCTCTAATACCAAAATGAAATTATCATACCACTCTCATTTTCATTCACTGACCACCAAATCCCTCTCTCTACGTCACCACAAAAAGGCAACATAATATTAACTAAAATTAAAAACACATAACATAGATATCAAGAGATCATTTATATAACAATTATTACATTATAAAGAATGAAAAACAATTGCAAAATATTAAAATACACATAATGCATTCATTTTATAATTGTTATAAAATATATTTAGACTGCATGAGTTGCATTTCGAAGAATGCAAAACATTGACCTTGTTTTGAGGGTTTAAGAAGTGTCACAGTGTCACAAAAGTGTCTGATATTATGAATTTAAAATTTTAATTAAGACACGTTGAAGAAGTGTCGGACGCACTTTAGGAGTGCCGGTGTCAACCACAAGTGTCCAACATGACAGAGAGAAATATGTTTCCACTAGAACAAGTCTGTTGTGAGGCAAGCTATTTTATTTACTCAACCGAGCCGAGGCTCTATTCACCAAGTGGGATGAATCAGAGAATTGTTGACATAGCTAAGAGTATGATGTACCAGATGAATGTTCCACTGGATGACTGGGGAGAAGCAATTGCCAACTGGACTCCTACGTCTACGCTGAATGGATTCTCCTTGGGCTCTATTTTTCTTTTTTTGACTAATATAGTTGATAGAGTTTGCAAGGATGGCTTGGTAAGCAAGTAGGCAGACACCAACTCCCACATCTTTCTAGTCTTTCTTTCTTTACAAACTAAATATAGAATTTCCTTCCTAAAGTCCTGAATGGCGAGACGGGGAACTAAAGAGATAGGAATGAACAAAATCCAGAGATCTTATTCAGAATTTGCTCAATTTATCCCCTCATGAGGAGAATATTATATAATATGCAATATATATGTACATATGAGGTGTCCCCGTACCCATATCCAATTTTGGATATGTATCCCAAGATCCTAAGATTTAAATTTATGAAGGTCTGACGCTTGGATATATACCCGTACCCGACACTCGTACTCGAGTCCATGTAGCATAGGAAATAGCTAAG